AAATTCATCTCAACCAACTCGTCTCTGCATTTGGGTCTTCTAACCAACACCACTGAAACGTGACAAGAATTAGCACTGGGCTTGAGGCTTTATAGAGTGGACCAAAACAAACAACATATTCTCATTATCAGTTCGTATGAAATCGTACAAAAAGTCATGTACACTATTTCGTACGTTTTGGACGTTTTTCCTCAAAAAACCAGATCAGTGCGCATGCGCTGGCAGACAGAAAAAAAAAGCAGATTCGCGGACGGATGTAAAACTGGGAAAAACACTGCAATAATTACTTATTCATGTCGTTAACTACGTTGCTTGCTGTTTTATATATTAGGGTTAGCGTCAGGGTTAGGGCTAATTGTAATTTATATTCTATGTTCTTGAATGGTGCGTAAGATGCGCATGCGCATATGACGAAAAAAACGTCCGAAACGTACAAATTACGGTGCATAACTTTTCGTACCATTTCATACGAACTCATAATGAGAATACACTGAAAGAAAGCCTTGTTTTGTCTTAGAAAACATGAAAAATTTGCATTTGTTTTTTTTTTTTTTACTTTTTAGAATGACTATCAATCAAATCAATCAATCAAAACTTCTTTATTGTCAACAACAATTTACATTGTAATCGAAATTTCTGTTCATCACAGGGGGGAACAGATTGACTCTGAGGCCTTGCATGCCACAGAAGGCTGCCATTCAGCACAACGGAGCATTCTTATGGCTTCCCACCAGTTACCTGGCTTCCCAGGTCCCAGGTGATTCTCTAATTGCGCCTATCACCTGGATGACTGAGAACCTTCACCGGCATCAGCCTAAATGCACAATGGCCACCCAAAATGAAGGTAATGATTGCCTTACTCAGCAATCCATTACCACTTTGGGGTGACTCCAATCTGTATGTAACTCGACAAAAATGTAAAAACTAGAACTTCTTGAAGCATTAAACATTTACTTGGGATTTCTGCTCCACTTCTAAAAAGAATTATTTGATGCATGTGTGGATCAGTGATTCAAAACAAACCATCACCTCATCTACATCATTAATCTTCAGTGTGTAATTGTAATTGGCCATTTGAAAAAGGCTAATACTGTGGTGGTGAGTGCTAGATAGTGACTGGTTACTTGTGGTGTTCTGTTCAGTGATGGCAGTTTTAACGCCATTACATTACTTATGATATAATATGGTTTAATACTATGCCTCGATCAATGAAAGCAACGGTTTATAACAGCATTTTCTTTGCTGCAGAAGATCATTGCCTTTTGGGCTTTTAAGGCTGGCTGGAATCCAAGGTAAAAAGCATACAAGATTTGACGTTTTCTCCGGGAACAATATCTTTATCCACATTTAACTAATTTAATGAAGCATCCCCATGGTTTCATAGCCTCGTGAGACCATCCTGATCTCGCGAGCTTTCAAGATTTCACTCGCTAATCAGTCTGGAGACTCTCCGTTAAAGAAAATTTGGAGCCGTTCACCAAACGAACGTCCAATCAG